ATACCGTTCTGTACTTTTCACTTGTCGTTCTTTTATACTCAAAAGTCAGGAAAGATTGCATGTCAATATAGTCAGGGTTTACCTGTTTCCTATCCTGCATGTAGCATGTTTGGGCTACTTCAACCTTATTTTCTGTAATTGCAATTTTTTTTTTTTCTGAAAATTTTGGCTTGAGATCAGGTACAAGCCTTTATAGCTTCTATCAGCCTTATTTGCATCTATTGCTTAGGTTTATCGTTAAATTTGGCTATTGGGTGTGAAAATTTTGCTTCATAGAGTGTGTGTATTATTATCACCTAGCATCATGCTTTATTTTCATGGTTTAGTTGCACTGCAATCAGTTTATGCAAAAAGTGATATGACCAATGATAATTAACAAATTACTTCCTATCCCAAATATTATTTACTTTTGAAGAAAAAAGATCATTTCCTTGACTTGTTTTTTCACAGATATGACAAAGACTAACATTTTGTTGTTTCTATAATATGGAGGCTCCAAACTACACCACATCTAATAGAAGCTTACCGACACCTCCAGCATTTGCCTTAAGCAATTTACCAACCGAGATCAGCTTTTCCATGCCACGTCAGCATGATGTAGTGCTCGATGAATACCCAGAACGTCCGGGTGAACCCGAGTGCAGTTTCTTCATGAAAAATGGAGACTGCAAGTTTAAGTCTAATTGCAAATTCCATCACCCAAAAAATTATATACGCAAACCCAAGGCAGATTCATGTACTCTCAACGACAAAGGCCTGCCTCTTAGACCTGTAAGTTTTTTACGTGCTCACTCTTTTTTGGTGCCATTTAGTATTAAATGGCTTTTATGGACCGTCATGAACTGAATCTTGTGTGTATATACATACATTCTGTGTTATGCTGTTCAAAAACTGTTTGATTCAATGTAAGCCTATTTTTCTTCTTCTGTCACCGTAATTTTGATAATTGCAGGATCAGCCCATCTGTACGCACTATCACAGGTATGGCATTTGCAAGTATGGGCCTGCTTGTAAATATGATCATCCATCAAGTTTTGCCAACTTGCCAAATGCCAACCCCATTTGATCAGATGCCATTTACCAACTTGAAGGTCACTGGTGGGTCCCAGTTGAATTGAGATATGAAATTAGACTCAATTACAACTAGCTCGAGATTAAAACCTTTTATGGATGTCAATTGCTCCTATTTTGGATGTAAGTAAGCTGGGTTTAAGCCTAAAATAGTATATTCCGGCTATCTAAGCTTAAATTTTTTGCGAGTATTTCCTGCTTTACTTGTTTTTCTGTTGTCGATAACAAATGGTGAGATTGGATACATTTACATTTCAAGAGATTTTATTTTTGTTTTTTTAAAAAGAAACTATATATGTCCCACTTTTTATCTCTTTCTATCTTATCAACATTTCCAATACAATTTTTTAAAATAAAAGTAATTTGGTAATACGTTTTTTAGGTAAAAATTTACTATTCAGTAACTTATATATATAATTATTTATTGTTTTTAATATTTTTTATTTCATCAGAATGAATTACTATTTTTTATTTCATATTTTATTTTATTAATATAATTTATTCTAAAATATTTCCTAGTTATCCAATCAAATATTTTCACGAAGTGTATACAATGACCAATCTCACCCAGTCTCTTTCTCCCTTAACCAGGGTATGTGAAAGATTCTTTACTTGTGAAAGCTTGATTGTAGTAGGGTAAACATTTTCTGGTTAATTATAATAATTATACTATTATACAATTTTGATCTAGCAAATTGCCAATAAATAAATCCTTTTTATAATCAAGAGATTTTTAATTCGCATCATAAGGTTTTATGCTTTATTTAGCATTAAATATATTTTACAATAATTTCATTATAAAAAGAAAAAAAAAATGATAAAAAAACAATTGTGGACTATAGTTGAAAATAATATACAAATAAATCACATGTTGAAATTTCAAGGAATAGTATATATTTTAATTTTATTATTTGGTTGTTAATAAAACTATTTAATGTATCTGATCATTATCTCTTAAATGATAAATAATATTAACTTAAAATTTTATTTATTTATTTATCTATATAATTAAATAAAACTTAAAAAAATTAGAGTGAAAAAATATTAATTCACCAACTTGATTTCGACTGATTAATTGGAAGGACAATATTTACCTAACCCTTCCAATATTTACCTAACTTGTTACAATTTCCTATAAATATATTAAAATGAATATTCAATATTTGGGAAAAAAATAATAATAATATGGTTGGAAATTAAAATTTATTTTCATGTTTATTTTGACCAAAATATTATCAACTCGAATCATGAAAAATCAATTTCAATTATTTTAATGGATATCAATTAAATAATTACAAATGTTAATAAAATTATTCATAGCAAGAATCTTGGTGATCATATCCAATTTGATTTGATTTGAAAACGTGTATATATAAACAATTAATCCATTCATTTAAAAAGTTTCCAAAAAAGGCGTTCATTAAATTTTCACGATTTTTTTTTGTTACTATCTATACCTATATATATAACAAGAGAATAAAAATTTAAGGAAAATAGTAGAAAAAAAAAATCTAGGAACATTTAATGCATATATTGTCTGAGAATATTTTAAATATAAGCACTAATTCTTTGTATATACACGTTGCCAAATCAGATATGATAAAAAATATTATTTTCTTGAATAATTTTATTAACATATGTAATAATTTTATCAATATTCGTTGTAATAAATTACAAAATTGATATTTCGTGATTCATATTGATAATATTTTGGTCAAGATAAACATGAAATTATATTTAAGTTCTAACCATGTTATTAATTTTTTCACAAATATTGACTTTTCAATTTTCATCCTAAAATATTTATAGAAATTAGGTAAAAAAAATTCTTCTAGTTAATCAAGCGAAATCAAGTTGGTGAATTAATCTTTGCTAATATAATTGTTTCTTAAGTTTTTATTTCATTATATATTTAATTATTCTTGAAATTAATAAAATTTATCATTTAAGAGATAATGACGAGATACATTAAATAGTTTTACTTTGGGCCATATAATAAAATTGAAAAATATATTTAATATTCTTTACAATTTCAACATGTGATTTGTCTGTACTTCATATGCATAAAAAAAAAGTGTCCAGTTGCTAGAAAAGACGAGTTCACAAGAGGACATGGGTCTCCTACGATTTTCGTTGAAGCAGTTGTTTCACACGATATATGGATGANTGTGTTGCAGGACCACATAATGATATCGATATATTATATGAATCTCCTCTATTTAACAATGTATTGCAAGAAAAAACACAAAATATTAATTTCGTTGTCAACGACACACAATATGCAAAGGGATATTATCTGACATGTCGAATAAACCCGGAATTAGCAACATTCGTAAAGTCTATTTCTTGTCCGTTAGATTCTAAAAGAAAGTTATTTATTAGAAAATAAGAAGCTATATGAAAAGAACATTTGTAGCGCTTCACATTCGACGGACAACTGTAAGATGTTCTACTTGATTTTGGTATAGAAGAAATTAATATGATTATTGAAGAGGAATGAGATATAATGACGCATTGGCACAATGCCGCCGCATAGCCCGCCAGTGCTCAAATTTAGAATTTCTAGATACATTTGTTAAAATTGAAGATTTATTTAAGGAAGTAAAATGATATATATTACAATTTCAATAGGTACATATTGTCAGATATATAAGAGATACATAAGATACCTATCGGTAAAATGATCCTAACGAAGTGTTTTTTACTTGTTTTGTGCCTTTGTTTTTCTTGTTTTTTTTGTTTTTTTTTTCGAGTAGATAATGCAAAGTTCGCAATGCTGATTTGTATTTTTCTTTAAAAAAGTAGGCCGAGTTCCCAATTCAAACAAACTTTCATCAAATTTATTCGCATAACTCGTGCAAAACTGTATTTTTGTGGACTTTTTAAGTCACCAAATTATTGGTTTTCTTGGACTTCTGAGGCACCATCGGAATCTGATTCCAGGCTTGCTATTTCCATGGATGTGTTCTGACAGCTAATTAACCCTTTTCAATGACATATGATTATGAGAAGTCAAGCCTATATTATAAGCTCAAGCATTTGACAAACCGGTCGATTATAAATATGATTTACCTAAATCACCCTTACATGACCTAAACTTAAGAAAAATCTTATTCAAATAGAAAAAAATTATTGAAAGTTCAAGTTGAACTCGAGTGAAATTCGAGCTAATGAACTTCGGTTGGTCTCAAAACTAATCTCAATTTTTGTTGAGTCGAGCTCGAGTAGCAGCGAAAAAAGATCGAGCCTAGCTCGATAAGGTCAGTACTCGAATCGACTCAGCGAAAAACAGGTCAATACTCAGATCGGCAAGACAAGTTTATTTTCGTTTCCTTCCAAAAACTCTTATCCACTTTTTTCATCTCTCTTTACTGGCTAGATAAGATTTAAAAAATCCAATCACACCTAACTTTGTTGAAGTTTAGTTTTAATCAAACTAAAGAAAAGAAAAGAAAAGAATCCATAGGCCTATGGAGAAGTATCATGTTTATATTCTTTAATTCTGGAAAACACGTTCAAGCTTTTCACACCAAAGACATGATATTTTGAAGCTTAGCTACAGTATCCTCTTCCATCATTAAATAGCAGGCCCCAACTTCGTGTTTTCTTTATATCACATTTGATTTGAGTTTTAATTACCACCAGA